CAATCCATCCAAAGTTTTAAGAACGAGAGGGAAATAAAGCACTAGCACCAATACTCAGCCTCCCCATTTTTCAGGAAAAGCATCAACACAACATGCAAAAGTTGGGGGTAGAATTCAAGACTTCAAGCTGTACCCTGAGGCTGCACCTACAAGTCCGATGTGTGACAGCTTCCCACGCCACCAGCTCAACAAATTCACCTAAAAAAGGGTATTTCTGCAGGGAAGTAACACAAACTTCCTCAAGCCAAAGCGACCACAAGCGTTCCCCATCAAATTTAGTGGTCTTATTAAGATTATTACCAGGGAAAAGTCTTTGTAAAGGGCATTTACCACAATAAGCAACAACACCATTTTCCAAAAAACAAGTCCAAGATTCTTGCAGCACCTATTTCTTTCCACGAGGGGCCAAACCTTCCATTTAGTTATGACAAGGACCGGATCTTCAATGATGTAAAGCTGACAAACACAAGCAAAAATGGAGAAAAAATAAGTAATTTCTACCCTGCGTTCGTAAGTTTTCCCAGAGGAATGAGCAAAAAAGCAAATACAAGGATTTTAATTACACAAACCATCATCTGAGCTGGTGCAGACAGCCTGAGGAGAGATAATTAACTGGACCAGAGCAGTACCAGTCCTCCCAGCACACCAATTTACCCCAGACAAGACACTAGTTCACAATCCCACTTCAGCCAAGTCTGCTAAATCACCATACCATGAGTGAAAGGGGAGCTCCACAAAACCTGGAGCGACAAATTCACCTCCTTCAGAGGTTCTGGAAGAAATCTATCAGCACACCAATTTACCCCAGACAAGCCACTAGCTCACAATCCCACTTTAGCCAAGTCTGCTAAATCACATTACGGTGAGTGAATTGGGAGCACACAAAATCTGGAGCGACAAATTCACCTCCTTCGGAGGTTCTGGAAGAAATTTAACCTGACTTGGACTTCTTGAGGGCCTGAACCACAAGTCACACTGCTCAGAGACTGGGTTGCCCAGTTGTTTCAATGCTTTCCACCTGGTATTCTTCACCTCCTCAAACAGAAAGTTTTACAGTTAAAAGAACAGATTTATGAATTCTCCCCACTGGCAAAAATTAAAGATAAATTAATATTTTGAGACAGAGGCGCAGCCAGGACAATTTTGTTTTTCCAGTGACAGTGCAGACAATCCATCAGTGTTTTACAGAGCACAAAGCCACTGGAAAGGCAAACGCTATTATTAATATTTATCAAAGCCAAATAATCAAGTGGTTAAGTAGCAAAAACTTAAGTAGTTAAGTAGCATCACAGGGCAATGCTTAGGCCTCCCATGGACCCTTAAAGAGGGCTTAGAAAGACCTAAATGAATTTTTACTCACAGCTCAAGCTTCAGAGCTTTGGGTTTGATGTTGTCACCACATCCTGGGTATTTCAAGCCAGAAACAAATCTGGGTTTTACAACCAGCGCTGCAGGGGAATGCGTGAAGTTAAAAATG